TTTTTTTTTTTTTTCAGAACCAGGGATTGAACTCAGACCCTTGCACTTGCCAGGGAAGTGCTTATTCCACTGAGGCATCTCCCCAGCCCAGATGTGTATTTGTTTAAAGTGGAAAAAATTTATTTAGGTCACAGTTTATACAGGTTTTAGTCCATGATAGACTAGCTCCAAGGCAGAGTGGTACATGATAGAACGACTTCAGTTCTTAGTGGCAGAAAACAGCGAAAGCAAACAAGCAAGGAGAGAGAGCAAGCCTCTTTGCCTCCCTTACGTTGTGTGACTGCATGGCTGAAGTCTCCTTCAAGATGTAAGGCAAACTCAGCTGTGAGTACAAATGAAAACAAATTTAAGGGCCAGGGAGATAGGTAGCTCAGTGACCTAAGTGCCTGCCCGGCAAGTGCAAGGTTCTGAGTTTGATCGTTGGTACAAAAAAAAAAAAAAAAAAGAGCTTGGGTGGCTGCACCGCATGGTCCTGCTGGAGGTTGTAGGTCCCATCACTTTTCTCTTGGGCTCCCTCTGTTCTATCCTTGCAGTTTCCTCATGTGATCCATATCCTTGGCTTCTCCAAACTTGTGGGGTTTTCACTGTACTTTTGACTTCACACTCACAGCTTCACACATTGCCCTCTCAGGGGTATGCTGCCTGGCCTCCCAGGCCTTCTGAAATCTGGATGGAATCTGAGTAGAGGCATTTGTGACCCCACAACTGATTCATTCTGCATGCACCTAACACCATGTGGATGATGCCAAGGCCTGCTGCCAGCTAGAGCTACATCCAGCTTTCCCTCTCTTGGTTGTAGGGGTGAAGTCCCCAGGTGCCTGAGCACTATGAATTTAATTTGGAGGCACAATTCTCTAGGCTGCTGCCACTCTGAAACATAGTATAGCTTCTGCTATTCTGGAACATAGTGCACTGAGGCTTTCTTCTCAATGTAAGATCTTCCACTTTGCAATTTAGAGGCTGCAAAAGGTAGAGTCCTGATGTTTCTTCTAATGCCCTCAGGCCATCTTTTATATTCTGTTCCTTCTCAGCAATCAAGATTCCCTCTGCTCTATTTTTGCAGTCTGCAGCTG